AGTGGTTGAGCGTGGATCTATGAACCAGGAGGTGGGTTCTATTCCCCGTCAGGGCACACGCCCAGATTGTGGGCTCCGTCCCTAATAGGGAAGGTGCAGGAGGCAGTTTCTTCTTTGCAAGCCAATAAATAGAAAAGGAGCACATTTGCTAAGATCCATAGCAGTAATGGCGGAAGATTACAGATAGATCGAGTTAATGAAATGGCTCATGGTGGCTATTAGAGTTGCACATTTAAATATATATACACAGAGTGTACACACCATAGACTGAGAGATGATACCCTGGGATCTCTGTTCTTTCTCATCAAACCCTCAGGCTGATATAGGAAGAATTAAATTTAAGAGATTCACATTATCCCAATTCTTGATCAGTGATGCCCAAAATTAAATGGTAATCTCTTGAGAGTGCGCGTTTGTTTGCAGTGCGCTTCTTACTCATTTCTGCTAAGATTGTGGTTGTTTACGTGACCAGGGGCTTTCCAAAGATGAACTTGCTTGCCCAAGCAAAAACACTTCACAGAAACGAAACGTGCTTTATGGGGTGGTGTGGTCGTCGTTGTCTAACTGGTGGAGTTTGATGCAAAAATATCAATGCTGGCACAGTGCAAGGATGAGGCAAGCCCGCCCTGACCACGCCTTCCTTTTTAACAGACTCTCAGGGGCCCTGGAGAAGGTGACAAGTGGGAAATGGTTAGGAGGCCTTAAGTTCCAGCAAGGGGAGGGGTGGCGAAGGCAAAGCAAACGGGAGGATATTTTTTCCAATGATTTTTAGAGATGGGGCGGGGGAGATGTGAGAGCGCGACATGGATTGGTTGCCTCCCGCACGGACCCCACTGGGAGCAGGGAGTAAACCTGCGACCCCAGGTATTTTCCCTTTGACGGGGAATCACACCCGCGAACCTCAGGGGCGCCGGCAGATGCGCTAACTACTGACCCACACTGGCCAGGGCTATTGGTTTCCTTTTTAGAGAAAGGGGCAGGGAAAAGAGAGAAATATCGATGAGAGAGAACATCGACTGGCTGCCTCCTGCACACCCCTCACCAGGGGTCGAGCCCGCAGCCCAGGATTGTGCCCTGATCGGGAATCGAACCCGCGACCTCTTGCTTCTCGGGACAAGGCTCAACCACGGGCTTGACACTGACTTCCGGTATCGCTGCCCCGGGCCAGAACCAAGCCGGGGTTCCGGGGCGCCCCTTGCAGGGTTTGGTAAGGACGACCCTTCCAGTCCTGACCAGTCACCAGCGCGGCCACCCGCACGCCCGCCGCCGGCTGAGGACTCACGCATTGCGTCGCTTTTGTGACGCCACGGGCGCGGCCTCCACCGACGCACCGCGCAGTGTCTGTGACGCAATACGCACGCCCCCGGCCCCGCCCAGGTGCCCGGCGCGCCGCTTTACCCACAATTCCCAGTGCGCGCGCGGCTCTCCAGTCCGCCTCCCGCACCCGCCGCACCGCCGAGTTCCCGCCGGAGCGGGCTCCCGCCGCCGGGGACATGCTGCCGAGGCCGCGGAGCCGGGGCCGCCCCAGCTCCCAGGCCGACAGGGACTGGGGCCGCGGCGGAGACGGCCGGGCGCCGAGAAGCGCCGCCGCCGAGGAGGCCCCGAGCACCTCCCGCGGGGGGGGCGGCTCGCAGGACCCCCGCCGCTCCTCGTCGCAGGGCGGCCGCCGCTCCGACGCCCCCCTGGCCGCGGGGCCCCGGTCCCAGAAGCAGCTGGAGCTGAAGGTGGCCGAGCTGGTGCAGTTCCTGCTGATCAAAGACCAGAAGAAGATCCCCATCAAGCGCACCGACATCGTGAAGCACGTCCTGGGCGACTACAAGGACATATTCCCCGACCTCCTGCGCCGCGCCGCCGAGCGCCTGCAGTACGTGTTCGGGTACCGGCTGGTGGAACTGGAGCCCAAGAGCAACACCTACATCCTCATCAACAGCCTGGAGCCCGTGGAGGAGGACGCCGAGCTGCGGGGCGACCAGGGCACGCCCACCACCGGCCTGCTCATGATCGTCCTGGGGCTCATCTTCATGAAGGGCAACACCGTCAAGGAGACGGAGGTCTGGGACTTCCTGCGTCGCCTCGGGGTGTACCCCGCCAAGAAGCATCTGATCTTCGGCGACCCGAAGAAGCTCATCACCGAGGACTTCGTGCGGCAGCGCTACCTGGAGTACCGGCGGATCCCGCACACGGACCCCGTGGACTATGAGTTGCAGTGGGGCCCGCGAACCCGCCTGGAAACCAGCAAGATGAAGGTCCTGAAGTTTGTGGCCAAAGTCCACAATCAGGACCCCAAGGACTGGCCGGCCCAGTACTGCGAGGCCCTGGCGGAGGAGGAGGACAGGGCCCGGCCTCAGACCAGCGCCCCATCTCAGACCAGCGGGGCGTCTCAGACCAGCGCCCGATCTCAGACCAGAGCCCCATCCCAGACCAGCGCCCCAGCCTCCTCCTCTTGAAGTCATAGGCTCCGGGGGACTCCTGGGGGCGAGGGTCAAGGGCACGGGCCTGAGGGCTGTCAGTGGGGCAGGGGACATATTTCTGTAAAGCTGAAATGTGTGTAGCTGTAGGATGTGTTTGCAAACTTTTGTTATTTTACTATTATAAAGTATTTGGTCCCAAGTTTTCATTTATAAAAATATGAGGAGAGGATTTATTTTGTTTTAGTGTCTGTATTTTGTGTGTGTGTGTGTGTGTGTGTGTATAAATTTGGCTAGCTTTATAAAAGTAATTGGAAAACTTTGCACTGATTGGAACAAAGAACATCAGTCATTTGTATTGGTGCCAAGTCAGTATCAGTGGCTGTTATATGGCCTTCAAACTGCCCCAGTTTGTAAGGAAAAATAAAACCTTTATAAATTAAAAGTAGAATTGCCCATATCCTCTTTTTTGCCTCACCACAGCTATTTTATGTTTTCTGCGTATAAGAAAATTGTATTTTCTCGGCAACTTTTTTACATTCATGATGATTATTTAGCTCTGTAGCTAACCATTTAGCTTTTTTCCTACCCTCATTATAATAAATATATCTTTGAAGCAGTTAAGCATTGTGCATTTTTTAAATCGTGAGTCTAAGAACCCACATTTTTAAAAAAGACAGTTTGCTACATATTACAGTTAGGAGTGTTTTGTAGAAGTTGCTTTATGTCCAGATGTGTGTGTGCAGATGGCATCATGATGTGAAATACATTTCTCTCACTGTGACAGGCCACAAAACAGTCAGTAAGCCCTTCAGAGATGAACCGCACCTGCTTGGGGAGCAGACACCCGGCTTCAGACTCCGGCTCCGCCTGAGCACGTACAGTTAGGCAGCTTTCCTAACGCGCTCACAGATGGGCTGCCGTGCCGATAGTGGTGGTAATGTGACACTTAGATGTGGAAGTGTCTGTAAAGTTCTTGGCACCATGCCTGGGGTGTAGTACTTTGTTCCTTACAATTTTAAAAAATATGAGCAGTTAAAAAATTATTTTTAAGGTTTCCTTTCATTATCTTGCTCGAAATCATTCCTAGAATTCGAGTCACTCGTTCAAAAGTTATGGCAATTTTCTAGTCTGACTGTGGTTTTATGAAAAAACATAATTCTTGGTATACCGTGAGTAGAGCCCATATAAAATAGTAAGAACAGGGGAATTAGATGTTAGATCGCCCCTGGCTATTGTAGGGTAGGGAAAGGGGGATAGGTTCTGAGGCGGCCAGACTGAATTATGGCTCATGTTACGTCAGCGTCAGCGTGGTGGTTTGGGGTAGGTTTTCAACTCTGAGTCTCAATTTATCTGCAAAAAGGGGGAAATAGCAACTATAATTATAGGGTTTTCCCCCCCCCTAGTCCTCACCTGCGGCTATTTTCCCATTGATTTTTAGAGAGTGAAAGGGGGAGCGAGTGGGAGAAACATCGATGTGAGAGAGACATGGATTGGTTCACACACATCCTGACCAGGGCCAGGGATCAAGCCTGCAACTGCTGCAACCAAAGTACATGCCCTTAACTGGAGTCGAACCCGGGACCCTTCACGCCACAGGCTGGTGTTCTATCCACTGAGCCACACCAGCCAGGGCTGTAGTTTCTTGTGTGGATTAAATGAACCTGAAGAAAAGAGCTCGTGGTCTCCACTGTCCCGCCATAGCTTCTGCAAAATGCTGCTTACAGACGCCCAGCAAGGAACTTCCAGGGGGTGGATAGGAGAATTGTTTTGGGGGGAAGAAACTGCACATTAATCATGAAACGGGGTAAACAGTTAAAAAAGGGAGCTGGATCAACACCTGGAAGTATCTCCGAGAGTCTGGTGGGCAGGTGGTGGCGTGGAGGAATGGGGCAGGCTCCAGGGTTTCCTTCTGTTGAAGGAATTCGCATTGATTTCATTAGAGCTGGCACTTGCAGATGTTCCTCCTGGTTTGCATCTTATTTCCAGCAAAGCATCCTGCCGACTGGGCCAGTACCTTCCCCTCCGATGTGTGCTCGTTGTGCATTTTCCTCCTCATGGTGAAAACGGTCATAACCCAGGGCACTGTCAGTTCTGAGGCACTCCCCCCCCCCTTCCATTTTTCTCAGGAAGATGAAAACAATTTACTGTCAGCAAGTTACCAGGTGATTTCAGTTTTATTTTTATTATTATTTTTAATTTATTGATTTTTTACAGAGAGGAAGAGAGAGGGATAGAGAGAAACATCGATGAGAATCATCGGCCAGCTGCCTCTTGCACGCCCCCTGCTGGGATGTGCCCGCAACCAAGGCACATGCCCTTGACCGGAAAGCTATTTTGAGACCATCTGTTGTATAGTATCTTCAGGGTTCGCCTCCTAAACGCTGTAGCAGGTATTTCCAATAAAGTCATGGCACAGCCAGTGGCCTTTCAGAGCGACTTTTTCCGTCTGATGTACGGGAAGCCGCGCTTGCAATTCTGAGAAACAAGACTTCCTTTAAAGCTCGCCGGCCGTGCGGGTAACGCCGTGGGCGACGGAGAGCTCTCCTGCGGCCCGGCCTCCAGGTGAGTCCCAGCTCTGGTCTCTTGCAGGTTGCCTTCTTCATGCTGCTGTCCGCCGTGTGCGTGATGCTCAACTTGGCCGGCTCCATCCTCTCCTGCCAGAACGCCCAGCTCGTCCGCGCCCTGGGAGCCTGCCAGCTGGTGAGCAGGGACAGGCCTGCCGTCCCGAGGGGTGGCCGCAGGGGTCAGTGTGAGACGGCTGTCAGCGCCTGCCTGTCCTCGGGCCCTTCACGGCTGTCCAGCCCCGCGGTCGGCAAACCTCAGCTCTCCAGCCACATGCGGCTCTTTGGCCCCTGGAGTGTGGCTCTTCCACAAAATACCAGGGCCTAGGCGAGTCTGTGTTGAGGAAGTGGTGTTAGAAGAAGTTTTTTTTTTTTTTATTGATTTCAGAGAGGAGAGGGAGAGAAAGAGAGAGAAACATCCATGATGAGAGAGAGTCGGGGACTGGCTGCCTCCTGCATGCCCCACACTGGGGATGGAGCCAGCGACCTGGGCGTGTGCCCCTGACCAGAATCGAACCCGATACCCTCGAGTCTGCAGGTTGGCGCTCTATCCACTGAGCCACACTGGCTAGGGCGCCCCACAACGTTTTTATCCACTCGTTTTCCAATAGGCAGTGGGCTCTTTCCAGATTCTGGTCATTGTAACTAGCGCCGCGATGAGCACAGGGTGCATACATTCTCTCATGCTTGTGTTTCTGATTTTTTTAGGACATATTCCTAGAACTAGGCTTGCTGGCTCAAACAGCAGCACCATTGTTAGCATTTTAAGGAAGTCCACACTGTTCTCCACGGTGGCCGCACCCGTCTGCATTCCCACCAGCAGTGCACGAGGGCCCCTTTCCCCACACCCTCCCCAGCGCCTGTCCTTTGTTGGTTGGTGATGGCAGCCACTCTGACAGGTGTGAGATGGTACCTCCTCATTTCAGCCTCTCTCTGATTTTGCGTGACTTGGAGCGTTTTTCATCTGGGCTGTGTGTGTGTCCCCTTTGGAGAGGGGTCTAGTTAGGTCCTTCGCCCATTTTTTTTTAAAATATATTTTTATTGATTTTTAAGAGAGAAAAGGAGAGAGCTAGAGAGCTAGAAATGTCGATGAGACACATCGACCAGCTGCCTCTTGCACACCCCCTACCGGGAATGTGCCCACAACCAAGGTACATGCCCTTGACCGGAATCGAACCCGGGACCTTTCAGTCCGCAGACCGACGCTCTACCACTGAGCCAAACCGGCTTCGGCCCTTCGCCCATTTTTTAAATTGGATCGTTTGTCTTCCTTTTGTTAGGTAGTAGGAGTTCTTCATATATTCTGGAAATTAACCCCTTATCCTTGGCAAATATATCCTCCCGGAAAGTGGGCTCCCTTTTCATTCTTAAAAAAAAAAAAAAAAAAAAAAGGCCGGGACCGGATTGGCTCAGTGGATAGAGCGTCGGTCCTCGGACTGAAAGGTCCCGGGTTCGATTCCGGGCAAGGGCATGTACCTTGGTTGCGGGCACATCCCCAGTAGGGGGTGTGCAGGAGGCAGCTGATCGATGATTCTCTCTCATCGATGTTTCTAGCTCTTTATCCCTCTCTCTTCCTCTCTGTAAAAAAATCAATAAAATATATATTTAAAAAAAAATTTACCATGTTTATGATCTTGAGGTGCTGTGATTTAAAATGTATTTTAAAGTCTCGTCATCTCGAAGTGCTTCGTGAGTGCACACAGCACGTAAGCCTGTGGGATTGGCTTCCCGGACTCGGTGTGATGCATGGAGATTCACCCCGCTGTGGCCACCGGGCTGCCCCTCTTCCCGGGGCCAGTGCCGGGTCTGCAGACAGGACGGCCGTCTGCGCTCCCTCGGGTCTGGCCATCGTGGGGAAGGCGGTGGGAATGTCCACGTGGAGACTGGGGCCACCTCCTCGGTCCAAGGCTGTCGTCGGGTTTTTCCTGAGGCTCGTGGCTGTGTTTATGCCAGCGCTCCAGCCTCAAAATGGAAAGCGCCCAGTAACCAAGGCAACACCCATTATGTAGCCACAGCCCTCAGAAGAGCCCCACAGTCACCAGGGCAACCTGACGGAGCTTGTCCTGATGAAGCGTAAATTACGAGAGGACGTGCCCTAGGCGGCAGGTTCGTAAGAGTGGGGCCTGGAAGATGCAGGAAACCGGGGCTGAGAGTCCACAGCCACTTCCGAGGCGTGTCTGTCATTGTCTGGTGTCCTTCGCAGCTCCGGGATGGCCAAACGGTGTAGCTTTAAAAAAAAAAAAAAAAAAAAAAGTTTTTGGCCTGGCCATGTGGCTCAGTGGTTGAGCGTTGACCTGGGAGGTCACAGTTTGATTCCTGGTGGGGGCATGTGCCCAGGTTGCTGGCTCCATCCCCAGTGTGTGTATTGTATGTGTGTGTGTGGGTGGGTGGGGGGTAGCTTATCAGTGATTCCCTCTCCTCACTGATGCTTCCGCTCTCTCTCTTTCTCTCTCTCCCTTCTTCTCTGAGATCAATAAAAACATATTTTAAAAAAAAATAACTCCACCCACCGCCGTGTGTCTTAGTGTGCTGGGCATAAACCAGGTGCTTAGGACCAAGGCGTGTGCTGGTCCGTGTGTGTGTGTGTACACGTGTGTGTGTACACGTGTGTGTGTTTACATGCATGTGTGTGCGTGTGCGGCTGCAGGGCGCCCGCCAGGCCAGGCCACGAGCCCCTGGCGAGCTGTGCCCATGTCCGTGCAGATCAAGTTTGACAGCGTGGAGGTGTGCATCTGCTGTGAGACGCAGCACCAGGCGGCCGGCTGCAGCAACCTCGGGGAGACACTGAAGCTGAACCCGCTGCGCGAGGACTGCAACGCCGTGCGGCTGACCCTCAAGGTGACCCCGGAGCCGGCCGCGGCCCCAGCCGGGCGGGCGTGCGCTCAGTGGTCAGTTAGATCCAGACGCCTCTCTCTCGGGGACTCACGTCCGAGGGTCACAGATCTCCACCGGGAGGTGCCTTTCTCCTCGTCCCGTTCTTCTCATCTCATCCCTGCCCGGCCCTGGGCGGACGTGCGAAGCGGGTGGGAGTGGATGGAAGGCCTTGACGAATTGCGGACTCCAGCTTGCCCGCTGTCCCACCATCAGGGAACAGATGGCTGCTGGCTTTCCTTTTAAAAAATTTTTTTATTGATTTCAGAGAGAAAGGGGGAGAGAGAGAGAAACATCCATGATGAGAGAGAATCATGGACGGCTGCCTCCTGCACGCCCCCACACTGGGGATCCAGCCGCCAACCCAGGCCTGTGCCCTGACCGGGAATCAAACTGTAACCTCCTGGTTCATAGATCGATGCTCAGCAATAAGCAGCACCAGCCAGGCAAGGCCAGTGCTGACTGTGAGAATAAATATCTCAGTACAGGCGTCCGGGAGGCGGAGGCGGAGGCGGAGGCGGTGGGCGGGCCGGTCCTGGGCCGGAGGCTGCTGGGGACCTGCCCGGGCTGCCGGGCGCTGACCTCCGCGTCTCCCCGCAGGACCTGCTGTTCAGCGTGTGCGCCCTCAACGTCCTCTCCACCATCGTGTGCGCCCTGGCCACCGCCATGTGCTGCATGCAGATGGTGTCCACCGACATCCTGCACCTGGTGAGCAGCCCAGCCCCTCCTCCTCCATACCCCGAGGGACGGACGCGGGAGAGGGGCATCCTGGCTTCCACCGGAAGCCCCGGGGACAGCGTGTCCTGCCGTCCTGCTGCCTGTGGACCCGCGGTCGGGGCGAGGAAGGACGTCCCGTGGTGCCGTCGGCGTGTTTGCGGTTGGGCTTCTGGTGGATGGAGCCACAGCCCCTAGTCCAACCTGCCCTGGGCCCGCCCTCCAGCACGGCGCTCCCTGAGAGCAGGCTGCTCCGCGGTGCCTTCTTCTCGGATGAGAAACTGCTCACCTGTGCTCTTCAGATTTAAAATATATACGTTTCCATTGATGAGAGAGAGAGGGAGAGAGAGGGAGAGGGATATCAGTGATGAGGGAGAATCATGGACTGGGCTCCTCCTGCGAACCCCCTGGGGGTGGAGCCCACAACCGGGACTTGTGACTTCCTGGTTCCTAGGTCGATGCCCGGCCATGGGGCCACACCAGCCGGCTCTGGTCAGATGCTCTGCATCGTAGGACCCTTGCAGGCAGGGCTGTGTGACTGGGGCCGCTGTGCCCGGTCTCAGTGCCAGGAAGGGGTCAGGGGGGGAGATGCAGCACCACTCCTGGCAGCCCAGCCCCACTCGGGGCCTCCAGCATCTTCCCTCCCCAGTTCACCCGGCCTGGGCAGCCGCCCGGACCTTCATGAGGCCTGGGTTCAGCAGAAGAGCGTCCGGGTGGCAGGATCTGCGTACCTACCAGGCAGACCAGGATGGGTGGGCCTCTGGCGAGGGAAAAGCTGGGTACAGCCCTGCCGGTGTGCCCAGTGGTTAGAGCACCCGCCCACACACCCAAGGGTGGCGGGTTCGTTCCTGTCCCGGTGAGTATGTGTGTGGGAGGCAACCGGTTGATTCGGCTCACCTTTTCCCTCCCTTCCTCTCTCTCTCTCTCTCTCTCTAAAAATCAATTTCGAAAATAAATAAGTAGAATGCGTGTTTAGCCGGCAAGGCCCAACCGTTGAAATGATGTAAGGCCCAAACCAAAGCTCATGTAGATAGCTCCCCTCGACCCAGGCCACCAGCCGCCCCGTCACCGTGACCCTCTGTTCTCCAGTTCCTTCCACACCGGGCGCATTCCACCAGCCCTGCCTGCGTGACCCCACACGGCACCATCCTCCACCAGACGCTGGACTTCGATGAGTTCGTCCCCCCGCTGCCGCCTCCCCCCTACTACCCCCCCGAATACTCCTGCACGCCCACGGCCGAGGCCCACAGGTGGGTGCGGCCGCCGAGGCCCGGGGACCGGCTGGCGCAGGGGGTGGGGGGCCGTCAGGCAGATCCCCGGGCAGGGCGCGCCCAGCTTCAGCGGAGGAGCTGGGGGGGGGGGGGGGTGCGCAGGCCGTGGAGCAGGTTGGTCAGGGCGGAGCGAGAGGGTTCTCCAGGACACACACCCAAACCCAGGAAACCGAGCCCCTGTGACAGCCGCCATCGACGCGACATGGGGTTGTGGTGAAACATGGAGTCAACTGTGGGGTCATTTTAATTTTTTTAAATACTTCTTCAGAGAGAGAGGAAAAGAGAGGGGGAGAGAGGATCATCAGGGACGAGAGAGAATCGTGGATCGGCTGCCTCCTGCACGCCCCCTGCTGGGGATCGAGCCAGCAACCCGGGCCTGTGCCCTTGACCCAGAATCCTCACTGCGGCCTCCTGGTTCCTAGGTGGGTGCTCAGCCGCTGAGCCACGCCGGCCGGGCTTCCACTTTAACGGACAGAGGCGTTGAGCCTGTTGACAGTGGTGTTCTCTCTCCAGAAAACAAAAGCTAGCACTGCCGGGCGAATTAGGCTTTCACTTCACAGCACGATGAGTGCCCGGCCAGGGGAGCTGACAGGGAGCTGTCAGCCTGGGGGCTCCTCCCCGGTGACCGGCGCTGTTCCCTCCGCAGGGGCCTCCACCTGGACTTGGCTCCCGCCCCGTTCGGCGCCTTGTACCACGTGGCCATCAACAGCCCCGGCCTGCTCTACCCCGCCGAGCTGCCCCCGCCCTACGAGGCCGTGGTGGGCCCGGCCCCGCCCAGCCAGGTGAGACCATCGGTGGGACGGGGGGGTCACTGGCCCATGGTGGGGAGCAGGCGGCAGGCCCAGAGGGCAAAACCCCCGCATTTGTGCCTCTTCCCCTTGGCCCCCCTCAGGCGTGAGCCCAACAAATGTACTTTTCTCCCCAACTTCTACCGCCTTTATATAAATTTATAAATCTCTATTGATTTTAGAGAGAGGAAGGGAGAGGGGGGGAGAGAGAGAGAGAGAGAGGGAGAAACATCAATGATGAGAGAGAATCATGGATCGGCTGCCTCCTGCACGCCCCACACTGAGGATTAGTCCAAACCCTGGCCTGTGCCCTGACTGGGAATCGAACCCTGGACCCTTCAGTCCACAGGCTGGTGCTCTATCCGCTGAGCCAGACCGGCTAGGGCGCCTTTATATATCTTTAGAAATATATTTTTTATTGAGTCAGAGAGGAAGGGAGAGGGAGAGAGAGAAACATCGGAACTCAGAGAAAGGGCCCTGCCTCAGTCCCCAGGACCTTTGGGGCCGGGATGTCAGTGCCCCCGGGAAGGCGGGCTCCGGCCGCCCCCTGACCGGCCTCGCCGCCTGTGTCTGCCCGCAGGTCCTGAGCTCAGCCCCGCAGGGGGCCCCGACCAGCTCCCGGGACCCGGACGCCCCCGCCGGCCTCTGCGCCCAAGGTAACCTCGCCGTCGGACTGGAAGTGAGGTGTCTGTCCTTTTTATTTAAACGTGTTTCCCCTGGTTTCAGACAGCACCAGCCGCCCCGGCTCCCAGGGTGGCGCCGCGCCCGGCCCCAGCCGCCCGGCCCCCGATGGCCCCGCGGGGGCCCCCCCGCCAGCCCGGCACCCCGGCCCCGGCCGCCTGGCCCGCTCCACCAGCGACCCCACCGCGTGCTCGTCGGGGGCAGCAGGTACGGTGCCCGCCCGCCCCGGCCCCGACGTGTGCCCCCAGCGCCTCGCCCCCGGTCCAGGCATCCTGGGAGTCCTGCCCCGGCCACACGGACACGTGGTCTGATGCCGGGCCCCCCGGGAGTGGACAGTCTGAGGCCCCAGCGGTGCCGCCAGCAGGCCCGCTGTCTGCCCGGACAGGAGGCGGGAAGTCTGGGGTGACGAGAGCCACCAGTGGGCCGGCCTCCAGGCTGCACACCAGCTCGGGCCGAAGTGCCGAGCACCGGCTTTGACCGTGACCTTTCGGGCTCCACCGGGGCTGGCCTGGAATGTGCACCCCCAGCGCCCGGGATCGTTGCACAGATTCGGCCTCTGTCCTCCCCTCCCGGGCCCGCCCGCCACGCCGGCCGAGCGCCGATTCTAACCGGGGGGACGGCCCGTGCCGCCCACAGCCCCTCGGCCGGGGGGCGGCCGCCCGCCAGTCAGTGCCGCCGTAGCCCAGAGCTGAGGGGCCAGAGGGGCCAGGAAGCAGGGACGGGGCCGGTCGCCAGCCTGGGGAGAAGGAGGTCCCTGCGTGTCCGCTCTCCCGGGAGGCGTGGGCAGCGCCTTCGGCTCGGCTCGGTTGGGGCTGTTCTCACACGTCCTCTCCCCCCTCGGCTTTCAGTCTCCCGGTCTCGCTCCGCCGCGGCTGCCTGCGCCCACAGACACGCGCCATCGCCACCCGGGCCCCCTGACACCCGGGAGCCGCAGCGGCGCGCGGAGCCCGAGGCCTCGCCGTCAGCTGCCAAACAGCGGCCGCGGTCCGTCGCGGACAGCAAGGCCCACGCGGGCGCCGGGGGCCTGGTGGCTAAGTTCCTGGGGCGCCCCAGCTGCCCCCTCCCCCCTGCAGAGCGCCCCGCGGAGGGGGCCGTGCTGGACCGGGTGTGAGCCGCCCCGCGCGGTGGACACAGACAGGCTGGCGGCAGGGCCGGCGGGAGCCCCCCCCCCCAGGAGGAACCAGCCCGTCACATCCGGGGACACACGTCCCGCCCAGCCCAGCCGCTCCGAGGAGGACCGTCCGTCTGTGTCCGTGGGAACCCTGGTCTCGTCAGGCTGGGGCCGGCGACTGTCGAGGAATGCAGACGCAGAGTGTTTCCAGCCGAGGGTCCTCCCGGTTTGGTTCCGGACGTGGCCAGAGTGGCCAGGAGGAGCTGCTTTCTCCCGTCCCGGCCCGCTGTGCCCCGGGCTGACGGGGAGGACCAGGCTGACAGCCGTTTCTTGGCTACAAGGCCCATCGACGCCACCGTGTGCCCAGCACCCCCGGTGGGCAGCCGGGGCACCTCTGCAGCCACCAGCACCTCAACGGCCCTGCGCTGGGCGAGGCCGAGCGCCCCCGGGCCTGGGACCGGCCCCGCGGCTGCTGGGGGCGCCCCCCTGCTCTGTGGTCACGGCGGCGGACGTGAGAAGGGGAGCCGGGTGTCCAGCCAGTGATGGTCAGCTGTGCACCGGGATCGACCGGCCACTTCGTCCCGCCACCGAGCGGAGGACACGGCAGGTGAGGGGCGAGCACGTGCGCGGACTGCACAGCGCTGGGTTCTCTCCTCTAGTTAGATGTGGGGTGGCTGACGGGTCCACAGGGCACGTCAGTGACATGGTGTGTGCACAGCGCACCAGCCGTCTCAGATGCATTGTATTAACGGGAAGGGGCTGGGGAGGGGACGTGCGGACGGAAGGGTCAGCGCGAGCTGGTGGCCTGGCGTGCGGCCGGAAGCAGGTAAGTGCTCAGGCGTTCTAGGGGTTTCCAGTCGCTGTGCGACCGTGGTGTCCCCAGGCACTTCCCGTGGCGAGGAGCTTACACGTGGCCGTGAGGGGCTGTCGCCCCGAAGCCCCAACAAGTAGGACCACACGGGCTCAGGGTCCGTCCACGGCACCGTGCGCCAGCACCCCACGTCTCACCTTCTCCGTCACCATCTATTAGGTCCCCCCATCCCACCCCGGCCTCTGGCAGCCACCACAGCGGGCTTGTGCATCCCACGGCGGAGGGAAAGCAGCCGCCGTTCGCTCAGCACCGTGTCCTCCGGTCGCCGTGCGCGGTGCTGCCCTGGCGCCCTTCCCCCCGGCTCAGCCGAGGCGTGCCCTCCCTCGGGGCTCAGGCTGTTTCCCTGTGCCGGCCGCCGGGAATGCCCTGGAGTACAGGGGGTGTCTCTGTGAACACAGGAGTTTGGGGGCGCACGCCCAAGGGAGGGGTTGCTGGTCGTGGGGAGCTCTGTTCTGTTTCTTAGGAACTGCCAGGCCGCTTCCCCTGGTGGCTGCCCCATCCTGTGCCCACCAGCAGTGGCAGGGGCTGCTGTCCTGCTGGGATGCCCCTCGGGCAGGGGAGGGCGGGCAGCTCTGCAGCCGTCTGTCGAAGAGGGTACCGTCCTCGGCCCCTTTCTGACGGGGAGTTTGGCGTCGGACGAGGCGTTTCTGGTTTGGAAGCCACTGTTTGCCTCTGTCACGCCCTTGCTGGGCAGCCGTTCAGTGTGAGGGCTCCCACTCGCTCGTTCCTGCCTTTGCTTCCCTGGCCTCGGGCTCAGGCTCGTCAGAGGCTCCCAGTGGCCGGTCCCCGAGGCTGGTGCCCGTTTCCCTCTGTGGTCTGGGCCTTACGTGCAGTCTTGGATCCGTGCTGTGTTAATGTGTGTGTGTGGGGGACACTGTGACCCCGTTTCATTCGTTTGCGTGTGGTTTTCTCAGCTGAGGGTTCGCGAGTCCCCCAGCCACGTCCCTGTGAGGGCTTTTCGCAGGCCTGTCTAGCCTCAGGAGGGGCCTTTACCGCGCCTCTGGGGTCAGTCACAGCTTCCCTGGGCCAGGCCCTGGGGGGCTGTCTGCAGCTGTGAGACCAGGGAGTGAGGACAGCCCCCCCCCCCGTCCTGGGCGGAGCTCAGGCTCCTGTGGGGGGAGGAGGGGGACTCCAGGCTGGACGTGCTCTTGAATTTGGGTGTTTTGTGTGTCATTTGGTGCCCCCTCACCCCCGCACCTCACTGTTAGCCGTGGCTTCCCCCCCAGGTGCCGTTCAGCCGTCCCGGGCACCACGGGGAGGGTCCCTTCCCTCCAGCTCCCCTCACAGCATAGGCGGGTCCCAGGCTGACGGGCTGGGCCTCCCCACGCCAGGTGACCCGGACGGTGGCCTCGGAGGGCAGCCGGGGAGAGCGGACAGGCTGCAGGAGACCCAGGTGAGGAGACTGGGGGTCGGCCCCGTTCCACACACTCCCTCGCACCCCCCCCGGGGGCCCAGGGGGCCCCACAGTCGGCAGCCTGTCTCCGCGCTGGGAAGAGGGTCCCGCTCCGGGGCCCCGGGCGGCGCGAGAGGTGAGTGCGGTCCGGCGCCTCGGCTCACAAACAGCCACACGGAGGACGACGTGGTTTATTGGGTCAGCGGGCTCCTCAGTGGCGCATGCACAGGTGGCACGCCGTGCCAGGGGACCGAGCGCGGTGGTAGCGGGTAAGGCTTCTTGTCACAGTGTATCCCCCGTCACGCGGTCGCCGGAGCCTGGGAGCAGCCTAGGCCGGGCCACCTCCGCCCGCCCGCCCGCCGGGACGGCTCGCCGGGAGCGCTGGGCGAGGTTTCTGTGTGCGGGAAGCACGTGTGCGTGTGTGTGTGTGGGTGTGTGCGCGCGCGTGTGTGTGTGTGTGTGTGTGTGTGTGTGTGTGTGGGCGTGTGCGTGTGGGCGGGGCTGTGCAGGGGCTGGTGCCCAGGCCGCCCGCCGCGTCCCGGGAGGAGGTGGACAGTGAGGACGGGCCGGCCGGTCCCGGGCCTCCGGTCTGAGGCCGGGGGGCGGAGTCGGACGGGTTTCTAAGGACGGATCTGACGTCGTGGCCTCGTCCTTCCTTTACCTCAGCGCCGGCCCCTCCTCGGAGTTTGTCCATCGTGTGCCCCGGCGTCGGGTACGGACGTCCTGAGGGGCCTCCCAGGACCCTCCCTGCTGCCCGGAGCTCGCTGTCGCCGGGGCTGGCTCGCGCGCGGAGGACGGACGCACAGCACAGCACACACACCTTCTCCGCAGCGCACGTGGCGGCTCTCGCAGGAAGACGGACCTCGTCGGGAGCGTGGGGTCCGGCCTCGGCTCCTAGATGTACAGCGGGGTCTCCTGGCCCGTGAGCAGCCGGAACATGGCGGCCGGCATGGTCTTCATGTGGATCTGCCAACGAGAGCGGGCTGAGGCCTCCCGGCCGGAGCTGCCCTCGCTCGCGCAGGCCGGGCGGGCGGGACGGACGGGGACTCACCTCCCCGACCGAGTTGGACAGGGCCTGCACGATCTTCTCGTGGGCCGTGGCCACCACGCTCTGCCCGTTGATCTCGATGATGCGGTGGCCGACGCGGACGCCCCCTCGCTCGGCGATGCCGCCCCGCATGAGGCTGCAGATCTGAGCGGACAGCCATCAGCACCGGGGCCGCCACGCGCCCGCCACGCCGCCCGCCCCAGCGCGGGAGAGGGCTCCACCTGCGGGCGCTGCCGATGGCTGTCGCCTCTGAGGGGCTTCTGTCTTTTTAGGGGGCCTCACACCTAAGGCAGGGACCCCAGGAACCCGCCTGTCACGGCTGGAGACGGGGCAGGCTGCCCCAGACTGTCGCTTGGTGGGTGGTGTGGGAAGGGAGGGGCCGTTGAGAAAAGTGACAGCGGGGTGGTCGGGGCCTGTCTGCCAGCGGCGCCCTGTGCTTAGGGCGAGCGAAGCTGCCAGTGGAGAAGGCACTTGAGCAAGGTAACTCCGCTGTCGGCAAACTGTTCCAGGCCACCTGGCTGCCTGGCACTGCGTCCCAGTGAGGGGAGTGCCCGGCCGGCCTTCAGGGCCTCCGTGCACCCCTGGGGCCCGCTCCTGAGGCCGGGGCCCCCGCTGCAGACAGACCCCGACGGCCCAGGTGCGCGGCTGAGGACGCGGACTCACAATGCCGTTCTGCACGCTGAAGCCCAGCTGGTACTTGAGGTCCGGCCGCTTGATGAGGACCGTGGTGACGGGCGGGCAGCTGACGATGTTGAGCTTCACTTGTGTCTGGTTCTTCAGGCCCTGCGGGGCGGGGCGGGGCGGGTCAGGTGAGCAGGCCGAGCGGGAGGCTGTGTGCCTCTGGGGGTAGAGGCGGCACCCGCCGCCCCTGGGCCGGGAACCCAGTGCGGGGGTGCGTGCAGCCTGTGCCCTGCGCTGCCTCTGCGCCGGGCACAGCCAGATGCCAGGCTCGGGGCACTGTGCACAGCCAGCCCCAGGCCGCGGGCACCACTGCCTGAGGCATGTCCCTGTCTGTCTGTGAGGTCCCCACAGGCTCCTGGGGTCCGGCTAATGGGGGGAGAGGTGTCCACCACCACGGTGGGCGGGGCGGACCAGACAGGTCATGGCGGCCGGGCTGCGGTCCAGGGTCCCTGAGCCCCATCCGCCTGACCCCTGGGGGGCCCCTTCTCTTACCCGAGACCTGCCTCCTGGTGACCAGGCAAACCAGGAAGGGCCGGTCACCCTAGGCGGGGGCAGCCTGGGCTACGGGACGGCCCCATGAGCGGGGGCGCAGCCTCGGGGGTCCCTGGACCCCACGCCTGGAGCCCAGGCCACGCGCCCACCTTGATGATGCCCTGGCAGGTGGCGAGGGGCAGCCCCACCAGGCTGGTGCCGTCGATGGACATGATCTGGTCGCCGATGCTCAGCTTCCCCGAGCGGGCGGCTGGGCCCCCGTTCATCATGTTGGCCAGGATCACGGTGGGCAGGATGGAGCCCCAGCCCGACTCCACCACCACCACGCCCAGGATCTCGCCCTTGTGCTTCTCCAGCTGCAGCTGCGGGGGGAGGAGGATGTATGGGCTACCACCCCCCGCCCCACCCCGGCCTCCCAACCGCCTGGGAGCAAAGACTGGACTCGGCCCTGAGCCTGGTCTGCTTCTGCCTGAAAAGTGCTTTCCCTCTCGCTTCCCAGGCCTCTGCGGGAGCTGCCTGCCCCCCTCTCCTCACGGCCCATCCTCGCGCCCCGGGTCCCGGCTCCTGTCTCAGAGCCTCACGTCTTCACCTCTCGTCCACCAGACTCCCCGGCAGAGCGCCCGGCACCCAGGCCCCTCGGGGCTGGGAGGGCAGGCGGCGGGAGGGCCCCCACGGTCCTTAGGACAGACGTCCGCCTCCGCTCCCAGCCCTCCTCCCTGCTCAGCGCTCGGGGCAGGAGCCAGGGGCACGCGGTGGTGGCAGCAGCGGCGGCGGCCTCACCTCCTTGCAGTTCTCCGAGTTGGAGAAGTGGACGAGGTCGTCGTTGTACATCTCCTGCGAGCTGACGAGGTCGCTGTACTCCTTCTGGCTCAGGTCCTCGGGGTTGATGCCGTTGGCGCGCAGGAACTCCTGGTAGGCCACGCTGAAGGCCTGGCCGATGGACTGCGCGATGAGCTGGGCCTGCGGGGCGGGCACCTCAGGGGCTGCCGGCAGGGCCGAGGCTCCGGGCACGGAGCCTGAGGGGAACGGGGACCCTCCGCGGCCGCCTGGGCCCTTTCTGCTGCCGGAACCCCCACCGGACGGACAGGGCAGGCACAGCGTCAATAAAGGGCAAAGCTGACCGGCGCCTGCTCACGACCATGGTGACCACTGCTTCCTCCCCGTCCCCCACCCCGGGCGTGTCCCCGCCTTTTCCCCTGGCTCAGAGCCTGGGGCCGAGGGTCCCAGGGACCCCAGGCTGCCCCGGCCTGGACTCACCCCCGAGCCCGAGGAGGCCCCAGCCTTCGGAAGCCAGGACCTGCCCACCCCATGGGGTCTCCAGCTGCTCCCTGCATCCCTACAGGACAGCTAGCCCCCAGGAGGCCACCTGCATCTGTGCTGCGGGCCCCCTCCCCTCGCCCCTGGCCCTCTGGAGCCGAGAGGGCAGCTGCCTGGGTGCTGAGGCTCAAAGAGCCAGCGGTGTCGCTGTGCCGCCTCGGTCTCCGGCGCTCCTGTCTGGGTGCCTCACCCAGCGGCCACCCGGGTGGGCCCCCCTCCGGGTCCTGCCCTCACCCCCACCAAGGAGTCCTCACTCCCCGGACAAGGGCACACACAGCTCACTCGCCTCCCTCCCTCAGGAGGACAACACTGGCCACAGCAGCCCCTGCCCTCAGCCCCTGCCCCTGCCCTGGGGGCGGCTCCCGGGGCCCCAGGACGCCCAGGCCCGAGCCACACACGCGCCTCCGGCCCGGGGGGTGGAAGGCAGGTGCACGGAGGCCACGTCCGGAGTCTCCTGGAGACGGCGGCCATCCCACTTCCCGGGACGTGGGCTTGTGCAGGAAGCCCGTGACCGCCCCACCCGTCCTCGACAGGAAGCGGTCGGACCTCCCCATGGCGCCGGGCCGGCACTCACGTCCTCGGACTCGAACACGTGGCAGATCATCTTGTACTGCTTCTTGCCCTCGGGGGCGCCCGGCGTGGTCTCGATGCAGTCCTGCGAGGCCGCCCGGGGCATGCGCCGCCGCGCCATGAGCACCACGATGTTCCCGATGTCCGCGATGTAGGAGATGGTGCGCAGCGCGTGGTCCATCATGGCTTCCTGCGGGGAGGGCGGCAGGGCGCTCGGACCCAGCCTGGCCAGTGTGGCTCGGTGGGTAGACACTGGCCTGTGGACTCGGTTCCCGTGAGGGGGTGTGCAGGAGGCAGCCGATCCATGGTTCTCTCTCATCACTGGTGTTTCTATCGTTCCCTCTCCCTTCCTCTCTGAAATCAATAAAAATACGTTTAAAAAATAAGTGGGTTTTGTTTAAGGAAAAAAAAAAACCACTCCAGTTTGAGGTTCCCCAACACGCGTGATGCCAGGGCCAGACCCCTGTTGGCCGCCTCCCTGGGCCTGACCCCTGGCAGCCAGCACACCCACCTGCACAGGCTAAGTGCCCCCTGGGGGACAGAGCCCCCGCAGCTCCCCTCCCTTCCTGCCCCGCCACGGCGAACCACAGCGCTGGATAACCGGGAGAGCAGTGGCTCACGGCCAGGGCCACCCTGCCTTACTCACCCAAAGGACACTCGGAGCGCGTGCGGGCTCACATCCCGGGGGAGCCCCTCGGAGCGCGTGCCTGGCCCCAGCCCGCCACGTGGGGGGGGGAGCTGGAGGCCACGGAGGGAGGCCACGCCGCCTGGGCCGTGTCAGGGACACAGCAGCTCCCTGACCCTCGGCTCCAGGAGGCCCCTCGGGCCCAGGAGGGCCCGTCACCCCAGGAGGCTGCACAGAGGCCCTTTGTCCGCCCCCCCCCCCCCCCCCGCAAAAGAAAGCCGTTTCCCAGCCTCCCCTCCTGCCAGGACGCGTCTCCTCCCAGCGGTGTGTCCCCCCCGGCTGGGGGTGGGGTGTAACCACAGGGGCCACGCTTCCGGGAGGGACACGGGAAGGGCCTGGTCAGCCTCTCGGAGTCAGAGACGTGGTCCCCCCACCTCTCAGCTCAGCAACGGCAGGGCGGCCAGCCCCTCCCGCCGACCGTCCATGTCCGCTCCCCCGTCCCAGCCCTCCCGGCTGCTGCTCTCCAGCCCCGGCCGGCACTTCCCGTCTCTCGGTCGGACCAACTTCCCTCCGGTCCCCCTCACCAGCACCTGGAGCCC